CAATCAGTCTCACCAGAAGAGTGCACATTAAAAACCAGGCCAACTCACCCCCTGAAACAAGACAGGCCACAATCAGTCTCACCAGAAGAGTGCACATTAAAAACCAGGCCAACTCACCTGCTGAAACAAGACAGGCCGCATTCAGTCTCACCAGAAGAGTGCACATTAAAAACCAGGCCAACTCACCAACTGAAACAAGACAGGCCGCAGTCAGTCTCACCAGAAGAGTGCACATTAAAAACCAGGCCAACTCACCTCCTGAAACAAGACAGGCCACAATCAGTCTCACCAGAAGAGTGCACATTAAAAACCAGGCCAACTCACCTCCTGAAACAAGACAGGCCACAATCAGTCTCACCAGAAGAGTGCACATTAAAAACCAGGCCAACTCACCTCCTGAAACAAGACAGGCCACAATCAGTCTCACCAGAAGAGTGCACATTAAAAACCAGGCCAACTCACCCCCTGAAACAAGACAGGCCACAATCAGTCTCACCAGAAGAGTGCACATTAAAAACCAGGCCAACTCACCCCCTGAAACAAGACAGGCCACAATCAGTCTCACCAGAAGAGTGCACATTAAAAACCAGGCCAACTCACCAACTGAAACAAGACAGGCCACAGTCAGTCTCACCAGAAGAGTGCACATTAAAAACCAGGCCAACTCACCAACTGAAACAAGACAGGCCACATTCAGTCTCACCAGAAGAGTGCACATTAAAAACCAGGCCAACTCACCTCCTGAAACAAGACAGGCCACAATCAGTCTCACCAGAAGAGTGCACATTAAAAACCAGGCCAACTCACCTCCTGAAACAAGACAGGCCACAATCAGTCTCACCAGAAGAGTGCACATCAAAAACCAGGCCAACTCACCAACTGAAACAAGACAGGCCACAATCAGTCTCACCAGAAGAGTGCACATTAAAAACCAGGCCAACTCACCACCTGAAAAAGGAGGGCCAGAGTCTGTTTTAGAAGTATGCAAAATGAAATGCAAAAATGCATACTATCTGAAATAGGTAAAAACCCATTATGATCAACAGAACAGTGCACAAGAAAGAAAAAGGCAAGAGAATGAGTCACCAGATCAGTTAAGAGACTAGAGCAACAACTCACAGACTAAGAAAAAGTAGGTTCAGAAGATGATTGAATCAGACATAGTTAGTTCAGAAATTTAATGACCACTTACCCACTAAAAAATCTCTTATATTCATGCAGAGACAGTATGAATAGACTAGATATTACCCTCTGGATTTATAAATAAGACCATTAGCTGTACAAGTAGCAAGGTCAACAGTGAATACTTACTTTCTGAAAGAAATAGACAGCTGCTGATAAGATGTGACATATTATGCAAAATATTGGCCCACAAACTAATGACAACCATGAGAATAGATAAAAACTTGAACAATTTGTAGACATACATTCTGCAAGAAAAAACAACAATCAGAATGAAACCCTTCTTCTCTTGATAATTTCTTTGTTCTTACTTCCTGTGATTTATTAATAGCAATAAAATTTTGTTATGTCTTGGCTTACATGCTGTAAAACAGGTCAATATTTTATTATGATACCTTTTAGTTGCTGTTTATTACCACATACCTCCTATTGACCTTACAGATTAACTTGTGAGCAGCAATATGCCTCTGCTACTTACTGTCTGTTGGAATATCTCAATAAATTACTGAAGATATCTTTGTTATAAACTCTTACCTCACAGAAATCAATGACTTGTTGAAATATCTTGATGAAATTGTTTATAATAATTGACCCTTGCAATGTCTTATACATGTTAAGAGATGATAACCATATGAGAAAATTGCAATAACTGACCTGAAACAAAATCTTTCCATCCTTCACACAGCTTAAGATCCCTTTCCTTTTACCAGACCCCAAATTCAGCAGAGTATTATACCATGTTTTCCCCTGAAAAATCAGCAAGTTTTTAATGAGAGTTACCAAAGAGGTTATAATTGTTTCATCCAGATTTGAACCTTGCTCCCTGAATCCCAAAAGAATATGGTATCCCCAATTGATGGAAGCATACTTGGCCACATCACCCTCAAAAAAGTCATTTGAAGGATAGTTTACCAGATGCTGCAAAGATAGTATGGCTAGATGAAGGTGTTGCAGAGGAGGATCGATAAAATATTGGTTTGATCGTGATTGGATAGCCAAAAAATCCCGGAGAGATGTGTGATAGAGCATAATTGGCTTATCATCATCTCCAGGAATTTTGATAATGGACTGTACTTGCAATAGCCCACAAATGACCTCCTCACACTGAAGAGAGAGAAGAGAACTGAGAAAGGAAATGGATTTGTTCTCTGTCAGAACCATGATTGTTCCAAGAATCTGACAGAAGTCTTCTGTCCAAGAAGCAGAAGAGAGGACTTGTTCATAGAGTGAATCTAGACCATTAACTCCTGATGCCAGAAGGTTTTGCAAAGCCCTGTGTGGTATGAGATCTCCACCAACACATTGGATCAATGTAGTAGCAAATGTGAATGAGCTGCCAGCCTTGTCAAGAAGTGTAATGAGATCTCGAGCTGATGGCCAGGGCTTTGGGATCCTCAGCATGATTTGCCAATTTTCATTATAGATGCAATCAAATGCACTCCGAAAATGTACTTCAATGTCTCGACGAGCATCAAAATTCTCTAGCTCCAGACGATGCATAAACCAAGAGTGAGAATTATCAAACTTTTTTCGAATATGTTCCTCTACCCTGCTAGTGAGGAGAATTCGGAAAGGAAGATGAGTCCCCCCAGAAGAAACCCTGAACAGGACATCAATGAAGTCTGCCATCTCAGCTTTATCATCACATTCATCAAGAGCATCAATAACAACAAGAGAGCTATAGGAGATTCGTGAAGTGTTGAGATGGAGTGGGTCTATGATGAGCCTTTGAAGTCGATAGGCCATAGAGACAGTCAACCCGAGCAGGGCTGGCTCATCCTTAACGGCACATTCAATAAATGGCTTTGCACCAGGAACAGTGAGAGAGATCTGATGGGCAAGAGTAGGAATCAGGCGAGATATATGGCTGTGTTCACCAGCCCCTCGCAAAAAGAAGAAGCTCCCTAAGAGGCGGCCCTCTGCAGTATAGCGCTCCGCAATGGTCTGTGCCAATGCTGATTTGCCATAGCCAGCTGGTCCGTTAAGCCAACAGACAACAGCTCGCTCATCATTACCATGGCCATCGAGCCACCACCGGATCTGGGCAATCACCTCCAAACGAGTGCCAGGATCACATCGAGCGACGTGACCTGCGCGAGTATGTGTAGCATTACTGACAGGCCTAAGCAAGCTCGCTAGACCTATGTGTCATCAGTTGTATGAGTGGTATTGATGGATTGTGAAACTTTGACGTACTTGGAGCGGGCGGAGGGCCATGAAGAATAACATTGCCGCCGGCGTTTATGACCTGTGCATTTCCAGATATGGTGGTTCCGATGGCATTTTGCAGGAGCGTGGTGGATGACGAAGAATCCATGAGTGAAACAACGTGTTGTGATATGGAGACTAGGAAAGTCGGAAGGCTAAAGACGTCGATAGGTCGCGTGGTCGTCGTAGTTGATGAAGAAGAGGTGATCAGTCGGAGATCAGTTGTGTTGAATTCGCTGTCGGGAATCTAATCGGGCGACGAAACTCCTTCACACAGAGTTCTGCTCCCCGTAGACCAACGTCGACTCGGACTACCAAGCCAACTCTTGCAACCAGCCCCCGCAAGTTTCCATTTTCCGCCGGCACACTCAAAAACTCAGTCTTAGAAATCCACCTCTCCGCTGGGGCGAGCGAGCGTTCTGGGGCGAAGTCCAACATTAGCAGGGCCTTGATGATTGAAGCATGGGTTCACATTTCGAGGGCACGACCAGTTCGCCCGGACAAGGTCACAATCCCCGTGTAAGACCTTCTATTTCGTCACCACTATGACTCTCTGACTCGCATTTAACAATTTGAATAGCAGTCCACTTCTCTCGGGAAAGAGACGGTCCTGTCACCTGGCAAGCGCCGACGCGCGCCAAGTCAGGGTGCTGAACTGTCCCTCGGTGATCGGACTGTCTCCTCAGGGTCTATCCCAGCCTCCTACCCATTCGTTGCGCCGTGGTTGAGTCATCTGAGGGGTGGGCGCGGTGTCTTATCCTAGTGATTTAGGTAGATTAGTAATACTGATAAGAATGATCCGACATAACACCGACAACTTTAATCTGCTCAACCACTGCGCAATGCCTGGCACAAAACATTTATAAACAAATGGTGCCACAGCGCGGAGTCTCAAAACACGTCGCGTTCAACTTATGTCAGCATGCTTGGGCAGTGCGCTATCCAAGCGCTTACTCACCACCACCACAAAGCTCCCTCGTGAACACTCCAAGCATACCTAATAAATTTCATTTGACAATTTGAAAAACTCTGTAGGTTGAAATATTTTGGGTCGATGAAGAACTTCGTGCATATACTTGAAATTGGATGGGTGGCAAATGGGTGGCCAGATGTATTTGTGAATCTTGTCTGCAGTCAGCTCTTAGTAAAATAAATTCTTTCAAGTCAGTATAAAGAAACATGACCCCAGAAGTTGAGTTTATTGTCTTTCCTGCTACATAAATTGTCTTGAGTCATCAAGTCAGTTTTAGATGTACTACAATGATATGGACATCGGTTAAAATTCAAAGTAAAAACTTCTTATTCACAATATAATTTATTATCTATGTTTGAAGTGTTTTCGAGGGCATTTTGTGGTGGTGGTCAGTATAGCACTTGGATACTACGCGCTGCCCAAGCGTGCTGACATAAGTTGAGCGCGACGTGTTTTGAGACTCCGCGCTGTGGCACCATTTGTTTACAAATGTTTTGTGCCAGGCGTTGCACAGTGGTTGAGCAGATTAAAGTTGTCGGTAAATTCTCGGATCATTGTAATCAACATTACTAATCTACCAAATCACTAGGATAAGACACCGCGCCCACTCTCAGATATCTCAACCACGGCGCAACGAATGGGTAGGAGGCTGGGTCTATCCCCTTTTGGGATAGTGTCACGTGCTTTCGCGCCCTTCCTCTTGCGCGTCGCTCACCAACTCCTCATTTCAGGTCGACCGCCTGCGACCCTGCGCCTAACGCTAGCCTCGGGGACGACAAAGCGTCACCAAAAGATGCTGTTCAGCAAACTCAGGAGGAGCGAGAGCGTATTCTTCAATGGGTGAGTGCATTTTACAGCCTTGTCCTTCAAGTTAATGTGTGTAGGCAAGAGACATCGTCAAAAAATATCCCTACCAGCCACGGGAAGTGCGACGGGAAGCTGCTAGTGCAAAGGTATGTCATCTAGTCTTCCAATAGATTGATTCACAATTTACAAGAAGATATCACAGCATCAATTGAATCTCTGTGAACAGTGCAGAAGATCCACCTTGCAAGATAGTACTTAATAGCTAGTTCTATGTAGCATAAATGATGGGATTCACAAACAAAAGCACGGATCGACTCGATATAATTTTCTCCTTTGAAATCAGCATGAGCCTAATAATATAGAGAATTTACATAAAACCCCTCAAATTTGTTGTGTGTCCACGAGACCGAGCCGCAAATGTGAATAGCTGGCTACCACATCTCATAGATAGGGGAGGTAATTTCTGGAGTAATCAGCATCAAGTAGAACCCAAGAACGTAGAAATCGAGTCAGAACTTACATGCAAACTCCAAATTCTGCCCAAAGACTTTAACCCCCCCACAAAATAGACACAGAACATGAACAGCTATGTGCCACATTTCGTAAAACCATGGGGCAGATGCTGGAGAGACTGACATCAATTAGAACCCAAAAAACTAAAAGTCGAGTAGGAATTCACTTGTCAATGTCAATTTCCGGCATTAGACCTTGTCCCAACAAAATCGAACGCTGAATTGGTACGGTTGCATACCATGTTTCGTAAACTCAGGGGATACATTCTGGAGTGATTCCAGTTAGGTAGAACCTAAAAACATAAAGTCCGAGTATGAACTTACTTGTCAACGTAAATTTTTGGTGTTGGACCCTATTTCCTCACAGAACCGAATGCCAAATTTGAACGGTTAGGCCCCATATTTCGTAAACTTGGGAGGTCACTCCTAAACCAATTTTGGTCAAGTAGAGCACAAAAACGTCAAATACGAGCAGGAACTTACTTGTTAACCTCAATTTTCGGTGATGGACCTTATTTCCTCACAGAACCAAACGCCAAATTTGAACGGTTGGGCGCCATGTTTCGTAAACTCGGGTGGTCGCTCCTGAGGTAATTCCGGTCAAGTAGAGCCTAAGAACGTAAAAATCGAGCAGGAACTTACATGTCAACCTTGATATCTGGTAATGGACCTTATCCCTCACAAAACCAAACACCGAATTTGAACGGTTGGGCGCCAAGTTTCGTAAACTCAGGTGGTCGCTTCTGAGGTAATTCCGGTCAACTAGAGCCTAAGAACGTAAAAATCGAGCAGGAACTCACATGTCAACCCTAATATCTGGTAATGGACCTTATGCCCTCACAAAAGCGAACGCCAAATTTGAACGGTCGGGCGCCAAGTTTCGTAAACTCGGGTGGTCGCTCCTGAGGTAATTCCGGTCAACTAGAGCCTAAGAACGTAAAAATCGAGCAGGAACTTACATGTCAACCTTAATATCTGGTAATGGACCTTAATCCCTCACAAAAGCGAACGCCGAATTTGAACGGTTGGGCGCCAAGTTTCGTAAACTCGGGTGGTCGCTCCTGAGGTAATTCCGGTCAGATAGAGCCTAAGAACGTAAAAACGAGCAGGAACTTACATGTCAACCTTCATTTCTGTAATGGACCTTATTCCCTCCACAAAACCGAACGCCGAATTTGAACGGTTGGGCGTCAAGTTTCGTAAACTCGGGTGGTCGTTCCTGAAGTAATTCTCATCAAATAGAGCCTAAGCATGTAAATGTCGGGCAAGAACTTACCTGTTGGTCTCATTTTCTGGTAATAGACTTCATTTCTCTGCAAAACCGAACGCTGATTTTGAACGGTTGGGCGCGTGGTTTCGAAATTTTGGGAGGTTGTTCCTGAAGCAAATCTGGTCAGATAGAGCCCAAGAACATAAAATACGAGTAAGAACTTACTTGTTTAGCTCAATTTCTAGTAATAGACTCTGTTTACCCGCAGAACTGAAATTTGAATGGATGGGGTTTCCATTTCGTAAACTTGAGAGGTGCTTCTTGTAGTAGTCAGCGTCAGATCAAGCCCAAGAACATAAAATTCGAGCCAGAACTCACGGAGTAAATCCATTTTTGGTAGGGTCTTCTGGAGGGAGGACTTTCCAGACCTTCTTGATGCTGGTGCACGTGGAGATAAGATGGCAGGGCACGTTCCACCTCCTTAGATGCCTGCAATGGTACAGCTCAAGATGAACAGAGGACGGGATCATCAGTCATGGGATCGGGGCAAGGGATCGAGGCAAGAGCTTGGAACCTGGGCCCGGGATGTCAAAAAGATAACCGAAAACTGTCTCTTGATGCGCAAGGGACTGTCTTTTTCGAGGCTTGCAACGGCTTCGCAAGGCGCGGGAATTCTTTTTGGCAGAGGATCTTGACGCATCTTGCAGCAAAAAGACGGTCCCAGCTGGTCCCTGCTGAGGAAAAAGACAGTTCCTTCAGAACCCTGCCAGTGGGACTACAGTCGAAACCCTCGTAACCCATGCATCAGATAACCCATAACCCCTGAAATCCCATGCCATTTTGGATCCACCAAGTTGGTGGGCGGGGATTTGCATACCATAACCCATAAGTCCGTGATAATCCATAACCCATAGCCCTTCGTGGGCAAAACCCATAGGTTTTTGGACCCTAAGTTAGGGTCATACCTACCAAAAATGGTCATAGAACCCCGCATTTTTCACTGTTTTTTCATGACACTCAATAAAATTTTTATCTACATTAATAAAATCCACCACAACACCAAATTTATTGACCTGCTGATCACCAAATTCTCTGAAATCAACTTGCAATGCCCCTCCTCCCCAGATCAAGCTTCACTCGATCACGAAGTCAACACTGTTGAATAGAAATACATCAATGATGACTTGCCCCAATGGTGCTGATTGTTTTACTTCCAGTCCAGCAAACAAAGAAAATTAGATTTTCTCGAGATTTCCATGATTTTTTGAGCACTTATTTTTTTCCCACCCCCTCCAACCCATAACCTCTGAAAACCCATAGGCTGGACTGTCCACGGAAGGGTATGGGTTACGAGGGTTTCGACTGTACTTACCAGTCTAGAACTAGACCCTGGCGTGACATGGACCCTAGTTTTCGCTGAATTGATCCCCTCGCTGCCAAAGCGAAGCTGAAGCAGCGTCGTAATTGCGTCGTAAATTAATGTTTGGAATATCTTTAAAAGTCCTTGCACTTTGAAAGTCAGTTTCTTCGCTGCCCACCAAACATCTTTCTCACCGTCTACGCCGATAAGCCTTTGTTGCCCTGCTCATCTACATAGTTCCCTCTCCAAGCACAATGTCGGTGATCTCGCCAAACATTGACCCTGTCGTGGATGTGGCGCCCTTCTATGGTCCTGCGCAGTCTCCTCCGCTTCAAGCCATGATGTGAGTAGTTGATCCAATTTTTTCCTTCCGTATGGGCAAAAATACCTGAGTGGGTAGCTTGAATTCCGCCCCTCCTCCTCCCATTTGCCTTCTCCTCCTCTGTTTTCTTCCTGCTGTTCCCACCTTCATCTTCTGTGGGTGTGTTTTTTTGTGCAGCATGTTTGTTTCCGTTGTCACCACCGTCCGCGCGAGCGCTCGTTCACATTGTTTTGCGCGCTGTTCGGGTGAGGCTTTCCTTGTCGGTGCCTCCTTTCCCTTTTCGAGCTTTACCCTTTCTTGGCGGGATCTGGTCACAGATCGGTCACAGTGATCAGACTGTCTTTTTCGTCGGTCGCAGCCTTACTTCACCTTGTTTATGAGCTGGCCCGCGCCGTGCACGAGAACTCAACTTTTTCAGTTGTTCAACCGTGTATTTATTTTTCGTATATGAAATTGAATGAAGCTGACGCATTCCGGGGCCTGCGAGCCAATGAGGTTAGACCCAGTGGCGACCTTTATTGGGTGATGTTGCACCGTAGTAACATGCAAAACTAAAAGGACAAACGTTTTCGTCCGCGACAACTTGGAGCATTTTGACAACGTGACGTCCATGTTCAATTGCAAAATCTCGCTAAAAACCCTTGGAATTGACGGTGAATATGCGCAGGCATGTCTTGCACATATATATCACACATGCCCTAGTACTCTAATCTCAAGCAGACGAAAAGGAAGGTATAGTACTGCACTGACCCCAAACGCAACCTCAAAGCCAATATCCCCCGTCGTTTTGGCGATTGGCCCGTGAACCACACCTGGCTCATACAAGGGATAACAAGTCCGAATGAAGCTATCCCAGCAGCAAGAGCAGCGATGCCCGAAGGCAACCTTCTTGGTGCGTCCCAGTCATCAAGGTCATACTCCGCTGGGTTGTCGTGTCGAATCACAAGATGCTCCAGAATGATAATAGCGATGAACGCGCTAGCCCAGTACCCGATAAGCCCAAGGAAATTGGTGATCGTGTCATAGAACCTGTGCGCTCCTACGATCGATATTGGTATCACTCTGAAAAGAGAATGTAAGTTTCTGTGAAGAAGGCGATTGCGAGCACTTACATCGCTGTAGCAACTAGCGAGAATACATATCGAGGAACTACAACCAGGGGAGGAATAAAGATCTGGATGTTCAGCGATATCGAGTAAAATGTTGCTGCGATGTTGCCTGCCACTGAAAGACTCAGCAGCACTGCGAGGAACTTTCCGAATCCTCCAGTGGGGCGGACCATGGCCTCCAAGAGGCCGCCAATGTTTCCGCCTGCATATCCTTGTTCCCAGGCTGGGATAGAAGGAGATGCAATAACTACTGCAGCACCAAGGCACTGAAGGGTGACCTGCGGGGATGATTGAGCGTAAGCGAACGAAGACGCACGATGGTAACGCACAATATGTAATAAGAGCCCCGCAAAAGAGTACTCAAATATCTTCCACCTAACGATATGTCAGTGTAGCTCAAACAACATGCGATCACGGCAATAGCTTACCCAGAGACATCCGGCCGATAGTAAGTCGTAAAATCGGAGCTTAGGCTCGAGAATGTGATGGCAAAGCCAGCAAGGGTGCCCGCGAAACCAAGGACACAAGCTGCCGTTGCGGCTTCCGCTTGCGGAGGATTAGACAAGTGTTTGCCTCCCACACCAAGGGCAATGATGAACGTGATCAGTACTGGGACCCATGACATTTTTTCGTACCTATTTGACATTAGAAATCATAGGTAAAGAATGAGCTTGGGCTTACCAGTTCAAAACTTCGTATCCACAGAACGAGACCAGCAGTGAGATGATAGCAATGACAACGATGCCCAGTCTGAATTTGATAAAGCATCAGATGCTGTGGCTCCTGATCTGACGGGAGAGACAATGGTGCTCACGTCCAGCTGAGGTTTCCGTTCCCTGCACTTGCAAGAGCCTGCCCACCAAGAATGCAGTTGAGGATAGAGAACCCAAACATGTTGACAAGATTGAGGATGGAGGGTATAATGATTCCGTAGTATCTATCATTGAGGGTCAGGAAATGGTGAATCAATCCTACCCCAAGCCCACATACCCAAACGAATATCGCGATATGACCATCTGCCGCATCCCAAGTTTAGGACCCCATGTCGCTCTTAACTGTCGCGTGAACTTCCAAATTCCGGGAGTAGACGGATGACGTACAAGTAAGCGGGCGGCGCGCAACATATGATGTTGAAAAACAGGATGGTCAGACACGAGTCGCGCAGTCCAAGCCCAAAGATAGCAGGGCCCAAAGATAGCAGGGCCCAAAGATAGCAGGGCCCAAAGATAGCAGGGCCCAGCGTTCCAGCAGAGAACCTGGACATCAGTCCGTCAAAACTCATTACCGTACGCAATACGCAACGAATGACTCACGTAAGGATATTGACATTCCACGAAAACCAGAGAAAAAAGATCTTGCTGAAATGGGTATCTGTGCGTTCTTCCACCGGCGCTGGTTGAATCCCTACAACAAAAGTTCGCATCCCAGCGGAAGAAAGTGCAAGAAAGACGTACCCCGCGATTCCACCCCATATGACAAGAGTTTTCTAGTCCAGCGGTCCGCGTACAGAGGGGAAGTATTGCCCGGCAACGACACTACTGCCGTCACAGGCTGCCATGTCCCGCCTTCTTTTTCCAAATCTTCCTTCTCGTCGAGGGACATGACGATGGGGATTGGGGAGAATGGTGTAGGAGCGGAGCATGCGATATGACTGGAGCGATAAATAGGGTAGCATTCGGATTTTTTTCACTCGTTATTTAGATCTTGTATCTGATATCAGATTAGATACGATATACAGTTTCCCTCCCTATTCCTCGTAGGTAACTATTTTTGCATGTTCTAAGTTCTGGGAGATCGGAGTTGGGCTATGGCAGCATCTACCCTCTCAAGACCCATCTGAAGAGATACGAGGGACATTATAGCATGCATATGACCTGAAATAAGAATTCAGACGGGCCCAAGAGTCTGTTTCGGCCGACTTACTTCCAGAAATAGACGGATGGCTCATCCACTGTGCCAAGATCGAACGCAATGGTTCTAAAAGACTGCTCTCTACACTTGATAAGACATCTGCATCACGTATGCCCGTCTGAACAAGAATCATACTTTCAGCACGCATCAAGGAAAGTAAGCAGAGAAAACGAACCAGATTTTGGTGATCGCGCTGGAGAAGAACGTAATAGAGTGCTAAGCATTCTACCAACCGCTGAGGTTCGCTTGATTCTTGGAACCCACCCAGTGAAAGTTCCTTGCTCCCACTGAACAAATCCGGAGGATCGGGCCTAAACAGTATAGGGCGAAAGACACGCAAGAAGAGCGGGGATGCGAATAGATTTGGTTTCGTGGAGGAGATCGACTCTATGATTGCTTCTTTAACGAGACCCACGGCTGCAACGCGCATCTGCGGGAGCTGCGAATCCCCAGTAAGGTCTGCGAGGAGCTGAATCCTTAAATCGGGTTGGGTGAGTGTGAGGAGAGAGGAGATGATTCGGAAGGCTTGATGTCTGACCACTGGGTCAGGGTGGGCGCTGGCGATGGTAGGTAGGATAGTACATAGAGGCGTTACAACTTCTGGAGAAAGAGTGGGTGGTGGAGATACGGATGACGCTCGTATGCGGTGAAGGAACTTGAGCAGAATTGATAAGCATTCGTCGAGGGCGGAGTTGGTTTGAAGAGAGGATATAAGAATGGGGAGAATGCCCGCAAGGTCGTTATTTGAGTCTGGCAAACCGGTTTGATGATATGCTAAGACTACCAGGGTGGCCGTTGTCAGTGATAATGTGAGTTCTTTATATGTGCACCCAAGAAAGGTGTACGCGTCCTGTTATTTTGATTAGTTGAAAGAAGCCGAGACAATGGACACAACGCATACGAGAGCTTCTAAAACGGCTTTCTCTCCCTCTTCCCACCCCGCACTAACGCAAGTTTTGATAGTCAGTCGAGGGAAACACTGCTCAAATATTCTCTGTGCCACGGATGAGCGAATACAGTGAGCATAAGCGGTCAAATTTTGGTCTAAGAGGTTTTTCATGAGTTTCTAGAAGATGTAAGCGAGACCTTTGAAGAGGTCTATTTCGATGATACGTACAGTGCATTCTAAAACGTCTTCCTCTTTGGCGTCCGGGGTGTCCTTGACCCACTGAGCAGCCCTTTTCACCAATGACGCCGTCGCAGAAATAAGCGCTCGGCCTTCTTCGGTGGACGCCGTAGACCCAGCCATAACATTCACGTTTTCTAGGTCAGTAAGTAAAGGTCGAAGAGTGTCTGGGGCTGTTTTCTTTCGCAACTTCAGCCTTGGGATCGCTGTGTGTCTTCAGTTGCTTTCCCATGAATCAAAAAGGAAAAATCTTACAAGCAGCGTATAGCCCAGTGAGAATAGAAAGGCGAATTACAGGCGAGGAGGCCGCCTGTTGAGGTACTTTTTGCTCTACTTCTTCAAATCCATCATCGTCAACGTTGAGTGATACCTCCAGCCTCTCAACTGCTTCCTGAACGGAGATAACAACCTCTTTCGCGGAGCAGCATTCTCCGATCAGAGATAACAAGTCCCCCGCAGCTGGGTCATCGCACGATAGAAGCAGTGGAATCGAATTCAGCGGATCCTGTAATCATATTTCAACATTCAATATAACGTGTTAGATCAGACAACGTACGAGGAGATCTGAACATCCCGACTTGGATATAAGATGGTGTATCTCCGAAAGAGAGTACTTTGGTCCGGCATCGTGTGCAGCAGAAGTGAGTAGAGCTATTATCGCAGTGCTCGCTGCCTGCGGTTCTGTCAAGATGTTTATGAGATCTATAACACGGACAGTACCTCGTCGTCAGAGCCTACAGGAAGCTGAAGCGCTGTCGCAAGATCTTCGTCCAGCGGCATCACTGGTAGTGAAGGTGCTCTGGGAGAGTGACGTCACGTGCAACATCCTCCATGGTTGAATTTTCAACTCGTTGAGGACATCTTACTATAATCTCGTTGCAATACTCGAGCCGAGGTTCCTTTCAGAGGGTGGACAGGAGCGTCAAGTTGGGAAAATCATTCATTCCAACTTGTTGGCTGTCAAACATCATCATGCAAGATTTTCCATACGACATCTGGCAGGTCAATGCCTCTCACATTCCAGAGAGGAGACTACGTGCTTTATATGGTGTCAACAGGCCGCTATTCTTGGCCTCCACGAACATTCGGTACCAAACAATTTTTTTCTCCTCTATCAAGGACAAACGGCTTGTACAAAATCTTGCTCGTCTCAGGTACTACTCAACTTGCTCCTGACACTGGTTCAACTCATAGTCAGACTCTCTAAATAGAGACCCGTTCGTTGACTCGTCCTGGGGCCTTCCTTGGCTGAAGAATTGTTTGAGCCGCGGGGACGGTGGGCTAAACCCGAGAATCCCTTACTGCAAATGAGGAACGCCCGAGGATACTTCAAGCAAGGGGTAAGCTCTGGCGAACCCATTGCAAATATGATCAGCGTAGTGCGAGGTTTCAATGATATTACAGAGTTGACCATCGATTCGGATTCGGATTCAGACACGCTTTTCCCTCTCGTCAGAGCCATCCTCGACTCTTCGCGCACAAGTCTTCTCAAACTGAAGATCTCGGGAACACATGTCCATTGTCTTCGTCCTATCGTTTCTTCCGTTGGAACTTACGCTTCCGAACCTCATACATTTTGATGTCACATTGGAGGAACCATGCAGTTGCACCCTGGATTCAACCCCAACGCCAGTTCTCAAGCATTTAGCAGCCTTCATTGCCACCCATGCAAACACCCTTCAATCGGTAGCGCTGGTCCTTCCAAAGCCCCTGGATCCTACAGAAATCTTTGATCCTCTCCTAGAGGCATTGAGCCGCATTGCTCACCCCCGCGATCTCAGAATGGCTTTACCATTTCATTCAATACCATCCTCCAAACTGCGATCCTTGGTAGAGTTCATTGGCAGCAGTCTTCAGGATCTCCGCTTACGCACCAGATACACACAAGCCGAGGAAAACAGCGCGCTGTCCTGGATCCGTCAGGACCTTCCTCTTTGTCCCTTCCCAAACTTGCGCACGTTGGCCGTCGGGCGTAGACTACTGCCTTCTCACTACAATGGCGCCGTCCAGTGGCTTCAATCGTTTGGTACAGTAACCAAGCTTGACCTACGTTACGACGTGCCTGTTACTTACAAGGATTACGACTACGAGACATTGCTCCAGTTTTTAGGTTCACAAAACACGATAAAGTGCTTGCGCCTCGAGGTGCCTGTTCTTGACTCCCATCTCCTCACCCAACTTGTGAGCAACTTCGAGAGCCTTCAATGGCTTTATCTGACGTTCTGGCGCATGGAACTGCATACAGAAGAAAAGGACCGAGAGAAAGTGCGAGCTAATCCAATCGTTAGTCTTGCATATCTTCTCGATTTAAATTTTGCATTTTGGCTGACTTGATCGTGCTTCAAGGGATACTTCCGTGCAGATCTTGACGAAGAGGCACTTGGAAAATGGACTTTGAGACATCTCCGAATGGCTTCCCCTCGTTTCTCGAGGAAAGTCGTCAAGATGTACTCAAACTCTGTTGCGGAGTGCTTACCAACACTTCAAAGTTGGACGTCTTTTGGACGACAACGACTTGTCGATTAGGACAGCTACTTCACACGCATGACACCACTCGCCGCTTCGCTTGCGTCCTATTCTTCCAAAGGAAATCCCAGCTTCGAATATCCAGCTGAAGTTGCTATGGACAGAAAAAGTATTTGTATATTCGTCAAATAACAAGATTCATAATCCTTCTGGAATGATTGTACACGTGGCTATCATTTTACAACATCGATATGGTATATCTTCACCTCGTGGGACTCAGGTGGATTCCAGACCATTAACATCCTCCCTCCATCATGCACTCGCCAATCTTCCTGTCTATTCTCTGGCGTTCTCGACGGCGCGATTTCAGCCCAGATGCTTCAAGGCTCCTGCCACTATGTTGATAGGAAGGACCCCTTCGGTGTTGACTCGATGCAGGATCTCGTCTCCCTCCTGTCAGTGCTCAGGTTGACCAGTTATCGAGTGTAATAGGATCATCTGCTGCTTTCGTTAGCTATCCTCTCACCCTCTCCTATCGCTATCGCCGTTGTTGAATCCAGGACTCTCCCAAAACATCCTAAACTTCGGAAGGCCTTGCATCATCCGTGCTGGACGTTGGGCGCCAGGCCGATTGAAGCCGCCATTTTGTGCCCCTGCCGGGGTGTATTGGCTGCTATTCCAGGGATCTTGTTGACCAGCGGCCGTCGTGCTGGTGGTGGAACTCTTTGAACGAATATCGGCAGGCATCATCCATTTAGGGATGGATTGTGTTGTTCGCCACGCGGAACGTTGGACGCTTGGCTGATCCGGGTTTGTTCCTCCTGCATTCACCATCATTGGCGCGGATTGGCCGATATCGGTTGGCCGTGGTTGATCAGATCTCGTGAAGTGGGCAGAAGTCTCTGTCATAGTTATGGAGCTTTCTGAACTGATGACACTGTCCCAATCGCTTTCATCCTCGTCATAAGACATCTCTTCATCATCCTGGCGATATTGATCTCCGCCTTCTTCTGCCAGCATGAATGCGGATGACCTCACGCTGTTGATATCGTTGTGAAACAGCTCGGTTCGCTCATATTCGTGAGGTACGGAATCCCAAGGCTTCAACTCAGTTTTGTCCTCGGCTGCGATAGCCTTTTCATCAATGTCGTACCACGATGCGTGCATGGGATGGGATCTGATGGGCACTGGAGTGCCGCTACGATGCATGGTCAAGGGTGGCCGATGTGAGGTCTCACCAATAACTGGATGTAGCTTGATGTGCATGGGATGGGATCCGGAAGGCGCCGGAGTATAGTTGCGATGTGTGGCTGGGGGTGGCAGACGCGAGGTCTCACCGATGACTGGATCTAGTTGGCTGATTGTCTTCAGTGTCACGGGTGACTCTTTGGGAGTTGGTCGCCCATCAGGGTGTGAGGGTCCAAATTCACCTTCGTCATCGGCCACATTGCGCTTTCTAACGAACGACTCCAAATGCTTGAAGATGTCTTTGGGCACGCGTCCGCCCCTGCCGTCTTTCGTCTTTGGGTTTGACGAGGCTCTCGAGTCTCTCAGTTGACCGGAACGGAAGTTATGCTGCAGTGCTTCCCTGGTCCCCAATAGCTCCCCAGCTTGTTGAATATTGGATGCATTATGCACCGCTGTCAGCTCTGGGACACGTTGAGCCCGCTCCAAGTTCCGTTCCCACTCTGCATTGACCGCTTTAACCCATTTTTCGTGGGCCATTCAACCATATTCTTGTACGTCAAGGATCAACACTTCTTCCACCCCCATCCTTGCAAGCCCAGCAAGCCGGTATTTAGCGATCGACCTATTGTTTCGTGCTGCCTTTCTATGAAACTTTTGCGCCCACACATAGGCAGACTGCTCGGTGAACAAGTCGGTTTCAGGAGACTTCGCTTTCAATTCTTCCCAACTCACCTCACCGAAAAATGGTTCGGTGTGCGAGAATGGGGTACCCGACGTGCTATTGTCGTCCTCTTTAATGGGATTATCGCTATCCACCTCTTCATCGTAACCATCGATATCCTCCTCCTCCTCTTCGTCATCTTCGCCGCTCTCTTCTTCGTCGCTAGTATCACCTTCCTCTTCTCTATCGTCATCCTCGTCACTTATATCACCTTCCCCCTCACTACTGTAAGGTCGTGATTGGCGCGGTGGTGGGACGCGTGATGATTGTCCACTCAAATGTCGTGATTGTGTCATTTGTGATAGACCAAGTGAATATCGGGGACGCTGAGCTTGGGAATGTGCGGCATGTTCTGGAATTTTAATACTGCTGGGCCATGTATATAATTGTGAGGCAGGTAAATCTTGGAGTTGGGAAGGTTGGGCGGATGCAGGTCGGGGTTGCACAATTGGTCGCTGAGCTTGTGCATGCACAAGATATTCTGAAAACTTCCCGCTAGGCTGCGTATATGGTTGTGGGGCACGTAAATCTGGAAGTTGCGCAGGGAGTTGAGGCTGCACAATTGTTTCTGTTCGCCCTACTGAAGGTGGTCTGGGAATGTTCTGCGTAGATGGCTTAGGAAGGCTCTGAGCCATGTCTGGCTTCAACTTCGCTGGGTTCTTGAAAAGTATCAGCTCCGTGCAAGCTCATGTCCAAAGCTGCACTGACCACAAAAATGCCCTCCTCGCAAGCATCGATCATTTGGCCCCGGTTCCAGCCGAGGAGAATGGCAACCTCCTCCTTGTCCGCGTCCGTCATTATTCATGCCTCAGCATCCATTCGATGGTCTTTGAGGATAGTGCGCCACCTTCGTCGTGCACCTTTGCGGAAAATGATCTCCAGCTCTCCGGGACTCATTTGAACGTAGTTTCTGTCGTTCCCCTTTCCTCGGTTCTCCCAAGTCTCTTTTTGGAATGCATTCCACGCCATTCGAATAGCATCACTCGCCTTTTCTTTCTGCTTGTCTCGTGGCCGGTGGAGGGGAGCCATAGTAGAAGATGATGGTTAGAAGCAAGGAATAATCGGAAGCCGGAAAGTCATACAGCAAGCTGTTGCGTGCTTTATAACGCGTCAATCGACAATCCGGTGCAGCAACGAGCTTCTCTTCAGGCTGTACTACCATTGACTTTAAGTTCCGCCTTTTCTGCTGTTACTCGGGGCTGTCCTAAAGAACGACCCTCCGTACTATGTTTTGGGACGGACTCACTTTTCTACAAACGCCCGGAGAAATTACAGACAACTAACGAAGAAGAAGCAAATGAAATGAGTGTCTACTGGATTTACTCACGAATGTCGCTGAGCTTCATGGCTGTCCGGGCTGTCCGCCATCTCCGTACCTTTCAACTGATACTGGCTTTTTTTAGTCAGGCGTTCAATCGGAAGCTTGTCGTCCGACATATGATTTCATTGTGGGCGCTGCACAAATGGGATTGGACCACTCAATGGTGATGGGTGGTCTGCTCAGGGTTCCGATCAACATCGCTGAAGTCGAACATCTACCGTGGACAATCTACTGCACTTTTGGCTTGAGCTTAGGGCAGTGTCTCGTACACAGAGTATTCGGCTCGCTATCCGACTTCTTTATATATCTTGTCCTCGGTATCTGCCATCTCTAAAAAAATTTGTTCTCTCCGTGGTCAGTTTCGGAATGATCGTGTGCTGGCATGACCTCAGCCTTAGAAGGATGCAAGTGACGGCAAGCATTTTCGAGAGGATGCGTCGAAGAAACGATCAAAGCGCTTCGCCCTGTGTAGAACCCCATCAAATCATGACCTCCGTTCTCCTGAAGAACGTTATTTACTAGATTTCTCAATTACTCGACACTGCTTAACAAGTTGTATCATTTTGCCAGTGTAAAAGCTCAGGTAGGATGTAACTGCGAAGTTTCGGTGCTGGCAACGCAATAGCCCGAGGATCGACGTTAGCTAACTTGAATGGGTATTGAGTGTCCTCAGTGGCGTCAAATAATCAAGGCCACAGACAACCTTCCTGATGATGGATTTTCGAAGTTGTTTTGCGGTGTTGACGCGTTTGTCACGTCATGTGAGGTGACGACGACCCTTTCAACTTCAAGTGGCGGTTTTGCACGCAGCCATCCAGGTCGATTGGGTCGAAGATTTGATGGACTCTGCTGCGGGTGCTAGTAACGTGCTTTAGCGTAGCCTCCCAGGAGATATCCCCAAGACTAAGTAACTCCCTCGCCAACATGTCACTCCACCGATGTCGGCGAACGGCGAACCATCCAAGCGATCAACAGCCGATGTTCCAGTCAAAGACCGGTCAGCTTCATTATCGCTGCGTACACAGCTACGCGTGATACCTCCATATCCGTCTACTCTCCCGGTATACTGAACTCGGAAGCACACGCGTGCATGTATCCTGAAATCAACGTCGTTCCCCTTGAGGAGAGCACCAGGTATACCGAGCATTCTGTCTAGCGTGAACAAAGTTGGGCCGAGGAGGCAGTGAGTGACCTTTGTCAGCCCTCCTTTCGTTTTTGTCGGGTGACCTGATATGCGTCGTTTCCATTTCTTCTTCTCGTCCAGTCCTCTGCCGAATATCCTCAGATCGGATTTTGGAGGCTTGGTAGATGGGAGGAAGGACGCTATGATGGTGAATCCGGATAGTCGTGGGAGGGGGGTGACACACGCGTCTTTCTTGTGGGAGGGGTACCATGGTTTTTGGGGTGGTTGGTGGGTTGTCGAGGAGGTTTGGTGATGGTTCGTTCGCTTTTGCGCAGTTTGTGGCGTTTTGGAGGTGGGGATAGAGAACGTCGAGGGCGAGAGGAAGGGAGGGGTTGAATACACGGCTGAGGCGCATGCACGTTTCTTCGGGTGGGGGTTGAAAGGTTGTCTCAGAGTCAGAGTCTGCGTCCGGGTCTGTCGCGTTTATTGGCGTCCAATATGGGTCAAATATGGGTTTAACGAATCCAGGCCATGGCTCAGCTGCGATGTATGCTACCTCATGAGGGTCATGAGTAAAAGGATAGCAAACGTCGCAGAGGGTGGTTATAAAATGCATTTAGACCGGTTTGAGGGGACGTGTGGAATGAGTACTTCGAGACTAGGTGTTTGATTACGTCTGTGGAGATTGAATGGGTGCGTTAGAGAAATATTTTTCCCAAGACATACCTTCCTTGGTAGGAGGTGTTTCGAAGAGGTATGGATCAGGAGACGCGCTCAGCGGTGGTCGAATCGTCTCCCATGGGGCCTCACAAACACAAACCATACAAATGTCAACTCGTGCCTATCAAAGAAGGTAAGTTGGGATGATTCATGACGACAACGAAGGGCTCACCAGTTCGTCAAGTCATGTATGTGGCACCATCAACTCCGATATCACGTATTTCACAGCGATGACGAGCCTCACATCTCCCTCCTTCTGCTTCCATTTACCCGAATACGCGTGGTGAACGGCACGTAAGTCCTGCAGAAACCCCTCAAAGGTGTCACCCCCTTATATGCACCCATTCGCGGCTCCATTCTCCCAATGGTGCCTCCAGCTTGCTAAAGAATTGATTATGGATTCGTAGAAGAGCCGCGTGGAGAAATAGGCGATGGCATCTGCGCATACGTAGCTGATCTTTGAGGGTCCTGGTGCGAATGAAAGATGGTCGAGAACATTATCGATGACTGCTATGGTGGTTTGCATGGCGTCAGCGTCGTTTATGTACGTGAATGGTGGAGGGAAGGGAGAAGGAAGGGATAAAGAATGGACAAAGAATGGAGAAGGAATGAAGGAGGAATGAAGGATACGTCCTTCGCCAACACAGGCTTCACGACCTGATCAAAATGTCTTCATGGGAGAACCTCAATCACTGTAGTTAACGTTCAACTTTGGCGAGGAAGTGAAGGGTGCCCTTTAAGGATCGGTGATCTCGAGTGCAGGAGAAAGGATTTCTGGACGCCATGACCGGGTGTCAGCTGTGTGGTTGTCCATACAACAGCAACAGTGGGAGAATACGAGTGCTTTGCATTCTCCTTCGCCGTCTTTGAAGGGAAAAGGAGAGAAAAGGCCGCATCCCTGGAAACATCTATGAAAGATTGGAGCTCGTCGTTCGAGAGCGGATCGAGCATGACAAGTGTCTGTCACATGGCGACGGTTTGCCCACTCCCAAATGTCACCCTTAGTGCCCAAAGGACATCATCAAGCTCACGCAAGTAGAGCTGAGAGCGTACGTCTGCCACCCCAGACCCTCCGTGGCACCAACACTTCAACACCTTCCATCTCCCCGCCCGTGCGCGTGCCGTGGTATAAGGTTGAAGAGGAAGCCAAGTCATCTAGGAAAAAGGAGGGACCGACGCCTTAGAGGTATGGTTACAAGGAAACCGGCCTTCCTCAGAATCGTGATACGATGTGAGGAAGGTGAAAATCTAAGAATTATCAGTAAATGTCGAACGACTACTAATGAAAAAGGTCTTACGCCTTTGAGATCCCCTTGTAACACTTATTCTGATGGAGGAATTGAATTCCTAGTATGATGTCCCATATCTAACAAAGCGGTCACTTAGTTCTCACATAAAAAATTAAGAGGAATCGAGGACTTACCGGAAGAAGACGGTTCGCGAGGACATGCAGTGGTATGTTCAGCCAAAAGATGAACAACTTGAACATAATCAATTCCATCTTCATCCCCATTCCTAGGCGCATAACGATCACATTGCTGTCCTGTTTCCCCCAACTTGAAGTACAGCTGTGACATGGCGGAAGCGACCCTCCTCCCATATCAAGTCAACTGTGGAAGAGCTGCATTTGGATCGAGCATTGTGGAAGAGGTCGTCAATGAAGAGCATACCACAAGGACAGGATCGGAATTCTTTGACTCCATTCGCGATGTCTGTCTTCAAATCCGCGCCCTGCAAGTACACGTTGGTAGACTGTGAAATCTTCCTCGTCCAAAGAGAGGGGACACCGAAGACTGGTCGTTTCGAAGACATTCTGCTGTGATGCAAGACCTTGGAGGGGGGCTTATGCGAGTATGGGTCATGGGAGTGGGAGTAGGAGGAAGCTCTCCAGACGGAAAAGAATGCGAAAGTGGGACGCAAAGGCAGGGTGTGTTCGGCGATGACGCGCAGCTTGATCTTTCTTCAAATGCACCCAAGCCAAGACCTCCATACCCCCCGCGCATTATCCCTCGCCTCCATCGTAACGCTGCGAACTCTAGCATATCGGAGGAAAAGGGTACATGAATCTGTGGTAGTGGTATGGGTTTGGAAGAACTGGGAAAAGCAAAGGGAATGAAACGAACCTTGGACTCTTTTGGCACTTCCCCTCGAAATCTGCCACGTATCGCCCTTTCGCCTCATGAGTACGTATCACCAGTGGGCTCCCTAGCCTAACGACGTGTTTCAGTTGCCGTCCGAACACTGTTTGTTGCTCGTTTGAGAGTTGTACGGCGCAGGTGGGTTGACTTCTAGGGTGCTGGGGTTAGAGACGGAGGGGGGACTAAGATGGTACTAAATGCGCGTTGGTGTAGAATTTGGCCTCATGACGTATAGCCAAAGGGATGAACAACTAGACAGAATCAGGACATACGTCATGTCGTTGATATGCACCAAACCCAAGTAAGTACTCACCAGCTCCCTAACGGAACCAAGATGCTCCGTCCTCTCTTCAGCTACCAACGAATCTGCGAGTTTTTGGCGAGTTTCTGGACAGGCGCCTCGCACTATACCGCTAGGTGTCCTCTGATCCGAGGGTGTTGAAATTGTTCTCCCCGTAGTATTGACAGGTTTTACTGTGAGTTTGTCGACTGATAGTTCTTTGAGGGGCTTCGTAAGTAGTTTTTCGACTGGTGACGGGTGTTGTGAGTTTTCGAAGAAAGGCTCGTTTTGATGTTTGCTTGCCATGATGGGTGTTAGATCACGATGGATACCCATACAGTAATAATACACCAGTTGCACAGATTGACTCCGTTCCTCAAGTAAGTACATGGCCAGTGGCCACGATAGGCTACAATTGGCAAAAATCGACTGAAAATTCTACGACCAACTTGGGGATGTAGATCGTATCCGAATGACAAGAGTCCACAACGTCCTTGATCAATCGATGACTACTTGTGGACTAGCAATCTCCTTGTCAAGTCCTTCAATAGCTCGAGCGGCAGCCCAATAACCTCCAAGTCGGGTACGAAACCTCGAAGCTGCGCATCGGTAGTTCGTGAAAAGTCCCAACGAGTCCAGCATAAGGCGTTCGGGGCTGGTTTGTGTCCTTGTGTTTGTGGCAGTAAAACAGACCAGGAATGAGAGGCGAGACTGTAGCGGGGTAATGCGTGAAAGTGTTGCAGAGGTTAGATTGCTGTCGTCCGTCATCGACTTGAGGGAAGCAAGTAGAAGCGGTAGACCTCGCGCTTGATCTTGTGACAGAGGAAGCAGGTAGGACTCTGATAGTCGATACGCGTCTCTCATTCGAAGACCCAGCCGTCTATAGATTAGTGAGCCACCGCCATGATGGGAACAAAGAGAGCCATACTCGGGAAGTCTCCACAATAGAATGTCAACCGATGAATCAAAAGCCGTTTGACCTCACGTTGATAATTTTTGAAGACCACGACCCTCCCTTTGCCTGTTAGAACCCTTTCGAGCATCGTCGTCACTTATGAACATCAAAGGCCACGACAAAACTCAGACTCCCAGCACAGTTCACTGGTAAGGTCTAAGCCCAAGCAGAACCTTCAACCACGACCAGCTATAAACGAGTTGAGCTGCTACCCCATTGATTGTGTCGTGAAAGGCAGTTAGGAGGTGAGGTAGCGGAAAGTGAACACCGTTCCGTGGGCCGTGGCTGTAGGTGGGAGACGCTTTCTTGGGTTTTGAGGGGGCACACGGACGTCAATTCTTGGATCACAGGGTATGTAGAGAGAGTCGAAGTTCTTGTGAGCGTGCGTCCCAGCGTCTTTGAGAAGAACGGCTGACAGGCTGTGGGTATGACCAGGGCGGAGGTACCTGGAGACGATGTAAACGAGTCGACGGTACGGTGATCAAGATCCAAGAAATGCGGTCAGATTGCGCTCATAGGGCACTGCGGATGAGACAGCATGAGTGGGAGGAGAAGAACAGATGTTGGCATGGATTGTGATAGGAGAGACGTGACGAGTAAGATGTGCTGAGTTTGAGAGTCGACATCCATCCGTGGGGACGTATATGTCTACGGGACCATCAGGATCGTCTCCCGTCCCACTAACAAACAAAAAAACTCAACCCTCGCCAACGCTGGCTTCGTTCACGTTCCTCACGAATTGTGGCGGTCGTTGAGGAGCTCCAATTCAACTTCGAAATCGAGCTTAAACTTGAGGAGGGTGAGTCGTCTCGAACTGCTTGGATAAGAGCTTCTCCAGTCCGTTTGCAATGTGGATCAACTCCAGCTGGAAGAGATCTGCGGGGTAGTATCCGCTACACGGTGGCGACTCTCCATCCCATCCACATCATTTCCAACCAACGAGTCCGAGGCTCATTGACGTTCCAATCCCGTGAAAAGACGGGTAACACAGGGAACTGGCCATCCATTTGAGAAACGCAAACGGCTGAGATGCTAGAGCGCGGTGTCTGCATGAGAATTCCGGCGTATCCGAGAGGCGAGATAGGACCGAGGTTTGGTTAGGGAAGGGAGAGTTTTAAGCCATCGCTGGGGGGATGGTGATGGAAGAAGGGCTGGAGGTCTAACTTCGAGCGCGAATGAGCGTGGAGATGGGGGCGGAGGGAGGGAAGTTCTGGACGGTTCTTCGCCTTTTGCTCGCATGTTTCGCGCAAGAGAGATAGGTAAATTGGGGGAGTGTAGGAGGCGATTGTGAGGTGGATGGAGCTGGACGGCTGCTAATGGGATGAGGGACGGATGTCGGCGGTTGATATTTGATCAGGCTTCTTGCCCATCGTTTCCGCTCGTTTCATACTATGCCTCAGCAATATTCGCTTTTGGTTGCTAAAGGGTCGACATCCGTCGGAGAAGTGGACTGCTATTCAAATTGTTAAATGCGTCATAGTGGTGACGAAATAGAAGGTCTTACACAGAGATTGTGACCTTGTCCGGGAGAACTGGCCGTTCCCTGGAAATGTGAACCCATGCTACAATCGTCAAGGCGCTGCTAATCTTGGACTTCGCCCCAGAACACTCGCTCGCCCCAGCGGAGAGGTGGATTTCTAAGACTGAGTTTTTGAGTGTGCTGGCGAGAAAGTGCAATCTCGCGGGGGCTGTTTGCAAGAGTTGGCTCGGTAGTCCGAGTTGACTTGGTCTACACGGTTTTGTGTGTGGGAGGAGTTTCGTCGCCCGATTAGATCCCCGACAGCGAAATCAACACAACTGATCTCCGACTGATCACCTCTTCATCGACTACGACGACCACGCGACCTATCGACGTCTTTAGCCTTCCGACTTCCCTAGTCTCCATATTAAAACACGTCATTTCACTTATGGATTCTTCGTCATCAGCCGCGGTCCTGCAAAACGCTACCGGAACCACCATAGCTGGAAGAGCAAAGGTCATTATCGCTGGCCGTGATGTTGTTCTTCCTGGCCCTCTGCCCGCCACAAGTACGTCAAAGTTTTACGATTCATTAATACCCCTCATATAATCAATGATACGTAGGTCTAGCCAGCTTGCTGAAGCCTGTCAGCAATGCTACACATAATCGCGCAGGTCACGTCCCTCGATGTGATACTGGAACTCGATTGGAGGTGATTGCTCAGGTCCGGGAGTGGCTTGATGGCCATGATAATGATAAGCGGGCTGTTGTCTGCTGGCTTAACGGACCAGCTGGCTATGGCAAATCGGCATTGGCACAGACCATTGCGGAGCGCTATACTGCAGAGGGCCGCCTCTTAGGGAGCTTCTTCTTTTTGCGAGGCGCTGGTGAACGCAGCCATATATCTCGCCTAATTCCTACTCTTGCCCATCAGATCTCTCTCACTGTTCCTGGTGCAAAGTCATCTATTGAACATGCTCTTGAGAATGAGCCAGCCCTGCTCGGGTTGACTGTCTCTATGGCTTACCGACTTCAAAGACTTGTCATAGAGCCAATCCATCTCAACACTTCACAAATCTCCTCTAGCTCTGTTGTTGTTATTGATGCTCTTGATGAATGTGATGATAAAGCTGAGATGGCGGACTTCATTGATGTCCTGCTCAGGGCTTCTTCTGGGGGGACTCATCTTCCTTTCCGAATTCTCCTCACGAGCAGGGTAGAGGAACATATTCGAAAAAAGTTTGATAATTCTCACTCTTGGTTTTTGCATCGTCTGGAGCTAGAGAATTTTGATGCTCGTCGGGACATTGAAGTACATTTTCGGAACGCATTTGATTGCATCTATAACGAGAATTGGCAAATCATGCGGAGGATACCAAAGCCCTGGCCATCAGCTCGAAATCTCATTTCACTTCTTGACAAGGCTGGCAGTTCATTCACATTTGCTACTACATTGATCCAATATGTTGGTGGAGATCTCATACCACACAGGGCCTTGCAAAAACTTCTGGCATCAGGAGCTAATGGTCTAGATTCACTCTATGAACAAGTCCTCTCTTCTGCTTCTTGGACAGAAGACTTCTGTCAGATTCTTGGAACAATCATGGTTCTGACAGAGAACAAATCCATTTCCTTTCTCAGCTCTCTCCTCTCTCTTCAGTGTGAGGAGGTCATTTGTGGGCTATTGCAAGTACAGTCCATTATCAAAATTCCTGGAGATGATGATAAGCCAATTATGCTCTATCACACATCTCTCCGGGATTTTTTGGCTATCCAATCACAATCAAAGCAATATTTTATCAATCCTCCTCTGCAACACATTCATCTAGCCATACTGTCTTTGCAGCATCTGGTCAAATATCCTCCAAAAGACTTTTTTGAGGGTGATGTGGTTGAGTATGCTTGCCTTAATTGGCCACACCATATTCTTCTGGGATTCCAGGAGCACGGTTCAAATCTGGATGAAACAATTATGACCTCTTTGGTAACTCTCATTCAAAACTTACTAATTTTTCAGGGGAAAACATGGTATAATACTCTGCTGACTTTGAGGTCTGATAAAAGAGAAGGAATCTTAAGCTGTGTGAAGAATGAAA